TGTTAATCACATCAGTGCGACGGGACAAGACTTTTTTTGTTTTCATAAGGTTAATTTCTGGGAATTCAGTCCATTTCTGAAAGTGTTTTTTGCAGGGAGCCGGAAAATAATGAGGAAGTAAAGCAGGAGGTTCCAGCTTTGGCGCTTCAATGTCCTATTCATGATGATTATAGTGGTCCTGATTCGTTCTCCAATATATTTTCTTCACAAGATAAGACTCAGGAGTCGTTATCTACTTCCTTAGCTCAATCAGCTCTCGCTAATTTAGATCAGGTGCTGAAGATATTTTTTGAATTAAGTTAATTGAATTTCACTGTTTATTGAATTTGAACTATCAGGTAGCGAATTAACTAATAAGCAAAAAAATATTATTTCGCAAATTTTCAAAATGAGTTTATGTACAGGCGGAAGAAACGGGCAGTCAAGCTTGGATTTCCGTGAAATCACCTCCAAAGAAGGTGCATCTTGATTACGCTGCTTTGTCATTCGCTTATGCGATATTGCACTCCAAGGAACATGATTTACGAAACTGTTCTAGTAAAGGTATGGAATGTCAGAGTAATTTTCTTTAGATAATTTTAGCGGATCACTTTCAGTATCTAGAATCATTGGTCTCTTTTAGTAGATTCATTTGCAATCACTTGCTGTGCCACTGTGTTGAGGAAGGGTAAAGAAAGTTTACGAAGATGAAAGTGGAAAGGAATAGGTAGTAGAAATTCTTTTCAACTAACATTGGTTTTCCATTAAGTATGACTTTAAAACTGTTAAAATTATAGTTTTGTTACTTTGTTTCTAGTTCCGGTTAAACGTTACCGATCTGAAAAATTTCATGTTCCACTGGCAGTGCTCGCAGCAAATACAGTTATTCTAAATCTTCCACCTGCTTCGGTAATTTTTCATGCTAATTTTGACGCCTCTTACGCATGCATCATTTTTTATATAAAATTACTGAATCTTGCATTTGTCTGCATTAGCTTCTAATTAATCCGTAAAAGATAATTAATCATATTTTTGACTTTAATTTTGATTTTGAAGCGACTAATTCTTCTGTAAGGAAAGCATTCTGCACATTGCTGAGTTAAAAGGAAGTAAAGAACATAAAATAACATTGAATAGTTTATAATTCCTTTTGTTTGTTTGTTTCAGTATGAACGGAACTTTCTGAATATGGGAATATCAAAAAAGAAGTTTGGTATTGGATTTCCAAAAGAAATTTGCGCAAATATAAAACCAAATCGAACATCATATGGAAGCATTGTACAAGTTTTGGAAACCAGTTCATACGAAGCGATTGGTCGAGGAACGGTTTGGTGTTTCAGTTTCGGTTATTTTTCTTTAACGGCTTTAAATTACCGCATGATGAAATGTTACATAATTTATGGTACTGCAAGTTTTTAATGTTTATAGCTGCGGTTGTGACACGAATTATCCCTATAATGATGTTCCCTTTTAGAAAAGGGCCATATAAAGAATTCGTATTTGAGTTATTTTTTATTTTGCTATTTGTTTGCAAGAAATAAGGCAGAAAAGAATGGGAAAGAATTGTGATTTACGTTATGAATGTTGGTGAATATTGAGTGTTCGAAGTGAAGCATTGGTATAGCAGCTGTGAAGATACTTCGCCATTAGGATGATTATAATTCATGGCCGATACTTTTTCATATTTCATGAGTTAATTTATAATGACGTTTACAAAAGCAAAAAATGGTCAAAATATGAAATGACCAAGCTTATAAGACTTTTTAATCATACTGGTTGAGCTTTCATTTAACTTTACATCAAGAAAAGGATTGAATGTCTGTCACGAAATGTTCTTTTTCCTGGTTTTTTTGAAATGCCAGAAAAACTAAAAATGTGCATTTCAGTATGCGGAAGAAGTCGAAATTCATGTTATGTTCGATCATTACCGTAAGGAACGAGTGGTTCACTTATTTAATCTTGCCATGGTGAAATTCTTTCCAAAAATATTGCGTTTGCATTTTACTGCAGCTGGAAGAAGTGTGAGGAGATACTATAGATGGTATTTTTTTTTTTGGAATCTTGAAGACTGATTTGAGGTTTATATTTCCTAACAGTCAACTTTGCTCAATTTTTATGAAATCGCCTTACAAAAATACTGTGACCGACCTTTGCTATTTTTAGGTTATATTAATGTCATATTTGTAACTGAACTTTTATGGCATATCAGTGCTATTTCTTCTTTTTTTAATAAATTTACGATTTTACAGGCCACACTCGATATCAGATAGCACTCTATTTTTGCGTTACCTGACAGTTTTCGAGCTGACTTTGAATTGTTTGACATTTAGTGTAGGTTCATACATTTTGTATGTTACAGTTATAACTTTGACTTACAGAAATGAACTTTTGATAAAAAAATCAAAATTGCTTAATTTTTTGTGCTGACTGCAATTTGAAGAAAAGTCGCTGTTCTAGTCCTAAACCTAGTTTTTACCTCCAGGTTCCAAAGCTAGTTTCTTATTCTTCAACACCAGATCTCGAAGAAGTTTATATAACATTATGTGGTCTTCCACACAACGAACGTGGAACGATTCAAAACATAATGGAATTGTTTCGATTTTTTATGCAGCCAAAAGATGATCTTAGAATCGTTATATTTCGAATCAATGCACCGCAAGTTTCTGCAGTTTTTTTGTTCACTGATTTCAATCAAAAAGTTGTTAGATCCATGTTTTTTAACTTTTTAATCAATTTACATATTAATAGGATTTATAGGATTTTTATGAAGAGCAAAATAATTTGAAGAGTCAAGATTTTTATATTTGGTACTTATATATATTTCAGTATAGACTGAAATTTTTGTATCGTCCGAACGAGTAGAGCTTTTAACATAAAAGCTGACGTCCACAAAAAATTTGATTCTGCTTAAGTGAGAAATTGATTTTCTAATATGTGAAAACTATATGTTGAGCGTGTCATCCGCTTATTTTAAATAGCATATTATATTTTTAAATGCATTTATTTTAAATGCATTTTTTTCAGATACTTTTTTGCATTTCTCGAGGTGTTATCACTGGTAACGGCAGAAAATAGACCTGTTCATCTGGAAACTTTGGGAATCGTATGCTGCGGTGAGTTAATCTAATAGAAAGTGTTAATTTTTTTTGCGTTTGAATTGTAGCTCATTAAATATCACCTAAAGTTCTGAAATGGTAACAACACATGGAATCTTGGGAATTATGTTTCCTTTTTAGTATTTTCTCAATGATTGAAAGATGATTTGACTGAATAATTGTTATCTCAAGATAAAAAGAGAGGTTCTTTTTCAGTTCCTGAAACGAAGATGCTGAACCTTTCGAGTCGAATATATAATGCAATTAAAAGTATCCATCCTGTTTTACGAAAGCAACTGAAGAAATTGATTTTGGATGGTCGAGTTTGGGGTGCACTTTCTGCTGAACATTTTGCGTATATCCAGGATCTTTTTCCAGGTTGTTCCTTGGAAGCAGAGCTTGCGCCGGATGACTGCAAAGATCTTAAGGTTGGTTCGATAGCATATTCTTTTACCGGTAGACAAAGATTGTCATAATTCATCCATTATTATTTTCTTACTGAACCGTAATAAAATCTGAAAAAAAATCTGGTAAAAAATCTTTTTTTTGATAAACATAAGTATTCTTCGTAATCTCTCTTTCACACACACAGACATGCATATGTGTATTCCGTAATATGTACTTCGAAATCTTCAATCCATTCCAAAAGGGAACTAGACCAATCATCAAAGAATCAGTTTGCTTTTGAACTGTTAAATTTTTAAAGTTTGTTTAAAAAAGGGAATGAAATTTCTCTTTTTTGATTCTTTTTGACATAAAATTCTTAACTGGCAGATGAATTAAGCGAGATGGTTTGAGAATAGATATAGCAAAAGAAAAATTCCTAGGTTATTAAGGATTTGGTTTTATCAATAATGAAAATGAGGAATCCATGGTGTACTTTTAATTAATATGTATTTGAATATAGTGTGGGTAATATGTTAATCACATTCAGCTAACTCCCACTGAAAAGTATTGTTTACTACTTTCTGATCTTGTGATGCTACGAATATCTTATTTTCTATTATAATTCCAGTACCATCTCATTTATGAAAGTGATGCTCTCAGACATAGGGAAGTTTATAATGTCTGCTGCACAAGTGATAGTGAATCAGAAGGTAGCGAATCACGTGAGTTCCTTTAATATAATTCAAATAGGAAAGGTACATCATTTCAGTTTTTCAGTATAAATTTCATCATTTCATTACATTCTTTTTGAAAATTTACTGAAATATTTTAGCAGCACTGGACAATGGAAACGAATATTTAATGAAATCTGATTACTCTGATACGACGGGAGAAACGGCTGAAGATCGAACATTTGCCGAAATTCTCGCCTCAAAACTTAAAAAAAAAGGTTTGATCTTCCGTAATTAAAAGGCGGTCATGATGATAAGTGTATTTATGTAACAATTTAAGATTGATAAAACTGCTAAAGGATAATAGCGTATTAGCATGCTGTGTTTGTGTTGTCAGCTAATTGTCAGTTAATTCGAATCTGTCTGAATGTAGAAAGATCTGATTATAATAGAACTTGCTTTATCGAATTAGGCTGTTAAGCAATCACTGAAAATAGATCTCATATAAGCAAATTGTAAATCGTCTTCTTAGCACAGCATTTTATAGATCTATTTGTAAAATATTCAATTTAATGGAACTAATTTAGATATATCTCGCAGGAGAAACAAATCTATCAATCGATCCCAGTCTAGCAGTGGACAGGAAACTGGCAGCAATACTGTAGAACATTTATCGCGGAAGAAAAGTTTTAGTTGTTTATCTTATTAGTTTTCATGCCTTTATTCAACATTACTCTAATTTTCCTATCACAGTTGTAGGAAAAAAGAACTATTTTAGTGAAATAAATTTGAAAGACAAAAATATTTTTGATTGTCTGTAAGTCTAACCTTCTGTCTCTCAGTTTCAGTTGCATTTTGTTATTAACCTTCAATGTTCATTACAGCTCTGTCATTAGTGTAAATTAAGTATAAGAAGTAAGTTTATAGAAGCTTTAGCATTCTTATGTGAAAAATGCTACTAATCAGAAGCATTTTTAGGGAGATATAGACCACAAAAGAAAAAGCATAGTTTGAGATCCAATGGGAAGAAATCTTCTGGTACGTATGTTTACTTTCTCGCTTTATCTACTAATTCTAGCTGTCCAGAGAGTTCATTTTTCTTAATTGAATTAGACTATATGTGCTGAGAGGTTATTTCTTGTTCCGTAGAAAATCAAGAAAATCTATAACAGCGAGAGATGAACATCGTTATGTATGTTGTTACAACCTTAGTCGAAAATAATTAAGTTTGGGAATTACTCAGAAGTGAGAGTTGAAAACGGTAAAAATAAAATGGATTTATTTAACTTATGTTTAAGAAAGGATTCCGCTTCAAAAACAAAACAATGCAAGCAAATCAACAGATGAGGAATGAGATCATGGAACAAAAAGTTCGGAGAAACGAAAATGAATTTATACTTTTACATTTGTTTACCAATTTTCATTTTTTGCTGATTCTTTTGAAGGAATAATTTCGAAATTAAATAGAATTTATGAAGCTTATATATTTTTTAGTTTATGTCATATTGGAAGGCTGATATTCGATCTTGTTAAGTGTGTTGTAGTTGCACTTGCACTAACTATTCTGGGGTTGATTTTTTCGGAAATCCTAGCCCAAATAATTTGAAATTTTGTTTATCTTTGTCCAAAATTCACTCTGGAAAACATTTTATGAATCTGGGAATGATTTTTTGCTGAAGTTTCTTTCTACATTTGCATTTTTCTTTTTAGTAGAAATTCCTTTTAAAATGATATTCGAGATCTCAGAAGTTTTTTAGCAGTATTACATTTTATAAAATAAAACTATTTTAATGAATGCTATAGATTCTTTTGAAATTACTTGCAATAATAGTGAATGTTATATGAATAATTTATTTGTATCTGTGTACCTGATTATGTATGTTTGAAATTCTTTAATAAACTGACTAGTCTAGTTTTTACTTTGTTTTAGCCTGGAGCATGCAGACAGCACTGAATTGGGAAATGACACTTTAAACTTTAAAATTATATCGATATTTAACTGAGCATAATAGATATCAAATGTGATTCATTTTTTTCACGGATATGATTCATTTTGATTGGTTTAGGTTTCCACTATTAGTCTTCTAAAAACATGAACTGAAAATTCAATAAATTTTGGAGTAAAGATCAAGTTAAAAATGGTAAGAGTGATGGTTTACATCAACAATCCAACAGTTTGTTGAAATGTGAAACTGGTTTCTCTAGAAAACATGTCACACTTATTGACGATCTCGTGTTTAATTTAAATGATAAGAAACGAAGTATAAACACGTGGTGATACGGAGTATCATTATTTATAGTGGTGGCTAATGATCAGTAAAACCAGTCGAAAATTTTTTGATTTTTAAAGTAAATTAAGCCTGTATCGTTGACTTTTTTTGAGATTCTCGCTTATTCACTTTTTGAATGAAGCATTAATAAATGAAAAGGTGAATATAAAATATTGTAATTTAAACCAATCATGGCAGAAGAAATTATTTTTTTAAGAGCAAACAAGCAAGCATCTATTTTATGCTGATCTCTTTTTTCTGCCAGATAAAGAATTTGTTAAGGATTTTTCACACTTGAAACTTTGCAATATTTATTCGAAATCTCTAAATTTCTCATATATATCTTTATTGAATTGGTACTGAAATCGAAATTAACAATGATTAAAAATGCTTACATTAATATTTGGTATATTTTAAATGATGCTATTTTTTGGTTTTTTAACAATATTAAATGATATGATTACATTCTATTATGTAATTTTATCTCAATATAGGATGATAATAGGAAGTGGTCAATCAATATCAATCAAATATCCTTAAAAGGCCTTCTATCACATGCGACTTGATTAGGTATAGCATCAATTTTAAAAGAGCATGGTACTATTGCCAAAAAAATCACATTTCGGAAATACTTGTTCAAGTGGAATTAACCCATTCCTTACAAATCTTTCTCAGGCCTTCTTATTGCTATGTTCGGTTGAAATGATGAAATGTGATGATGACAACACTAGCATTATAGTGATGCTTTTTTTTAATTTTTATCAAAAGTTTTACGAAATTTGCAGATGTTTATTTTGTGTTTATTAGTGGTATTGCTGTACACCGCAAATGGATTTCGAACACAAAGTGCTGGTGTAAGGGGAACTCTGATGTGCGGTGATTTACCTTTAGCAAATACAAAAGTAAAATTATGGGATGAGGATGGTTAGTTCGTTTTTGAAATTGTAATCCTTTAAGTTCATTCAATTTAACAACACATGAGTTCTGTAAAGATTATTTTGAAAATGAACGAGAATTTTTCCATCTCAACGGCGTCCTGATACTTGATCGCGAATAAATTTTGTCTAATTTTCTTTGTTATCTATAAAGTAATTGCATTCTAATTATTATCAGAAGATTATGGATTGCGAGTTCAATTATTGATTTTAATCTGTTGAATTTGACCGAATTATCCATTTGCAAACGATTCGCAAAAGTGAAAAAAGGGGAAGTTATTAACCTTTTGTATTTCAAACTAATAAATTAAAATTAATCTTCAGCAACAGACGTTGATGATTTACTACAAGAAGGAAGAACAAATTCTCATGGCTATTTTGAATTAAGTGGCTCTACCAGTGAAATTACCACTATCGATCCCATTCTCAAAATATATCACGATTGCGATGACAGAATAATGGAAGGCTAAATATTTTAATTCAAATGAACTTAATAAAACCTTTAAAAAATTTCTTGAATTTTGAAATATATCGTTTTAACTAATACAACTATTTTTCCAATCTTAAAATCTTTAATTTTTTTAGAGAAGCATTTGCTAATGATTTCCTATAACATTTCTAGCTGGCATTTACTTCATATGATATAAACTATCATTTTAGCCTTGCCAACGTAAAGTAGCATTCGAGATACCATCGTCATATGTTAGCAGTGGTAAACATGTGGAAAAATTTTTTGATATCGGTACTGTCAATATGCAAATTATTTTTGAGAAAGAAAGTCGGGATTGTATACATCGCTGATAAAGACAAATTCATTCATTTTAAAAAACTTTGTTTAATTTGAAGCGAAAATAATTAATTTGCATTAGTGAAGTAGTACTGTTTGTAAGGTTGTAATTGATTATGTATTTTTATTTATGAATTGAAATAACAAACATAAAATGTATCACATAAGACCCGAACATATATAGTAATTATTAAATGATTTCAAATAATTATAATTGCTAATTTTACTAATTAACGAGGCGCATGCAAAAAAGACGTTTCAATTGGCAGAAATCATACATGTTAAGAAAAAGGAATTAATTTAAAATGAGAAAGTTAAAAAAGTTTATGAAATTCAATTGCTATTGGAATAAATAGATATTTTTGGTAATTATCAAACCTTAATGAATCAAACATGATCATTAACAAGAGATGTTAAAATTCATTTAAATATTTTCATCAATTTCGAATTTTTGAATTCTAAATTTCTATCCTAAACTCCCGACTTTTGTCTAAAACTTACCAATCTGATAATTTTTCTGCACCTTTTGAAGATTCAAAGAATGTGATTAAATAATTTTTAATCACATTCTTTGAAGCTTCAAATTATTTAATCACATTCTTTGGATCTTCAAAAGATGCAAAACGTTTTTTTTTGCAATAGGTGCAGAAAAATTATCAGATTGGTAAGTTTTAGACAAAAATCGGGAGTTTAGAATAGAAATTTAGAATTCAAAAATTCGAAATTGATAAAATTTAAATGAATTCTAACATCTCTTGTTAATGATTATGTTTGATTCATTAAGGTTTGACAAAAAGTAAGATTAATGATAACAGAATCAAATGAATGCGGAATTCGGAGTAAGTTAAAGACAATATTGGAAAATGCCTGAAAAAATTTTTTATTTCAATTAAATTGTGTAAGAATAATGGACACAAATAGGGATAATCAGCAAAATGAAAGACAGAAGCCGTAACAATTAACTATGATATTATTAGTAGTGACAACAGTAACATAATAAAAAAGGAATATTTTTGATAAATTAACAAAAAGTTTGGGAATTTTCAAAATTTTTGATTTGAAATCTGAACACTTATAAAAACAAATTTTCTGAAAGAAACTAACTTAATTATTAAAAGCGTAATGATATTTGATATTATTACATGTCTTTTACCGAAAATTATCAGTTAATAATTAAAAGTTAAAGCACTGCATGCTATAAAAAATTCAAAGAATGATATATAGCCAAATTAGACTTTGTCCTGCAAATAAGCAGTCTTTAACTACCAAATAACCTTTGTCCTTTTCACTTCCAAATTTAAACAAAGAAAAGGAAAAGTCAAAGTGATTTGGTGTAAAATATAACAATAAATAAGCAAAAGAAAATAATGAAATGAAGAGTTCTTGTAGCAATTGTTGCAGATTGTCCTCGCTTTGGCCGGTGACAACTTGGTCTGTAATTTGACAGTGACCGATGAAATTCTTCTGCACCACAAAAATTCTTCCTTAGCAACATTGAATCCTGTAAGAATATTTCATTTTAATCTCATAATTAAATCTTCTTGAATTGAATTAGTTAAAATTCCCATAGCTTGATAATTAATTTCTAATGTGAAACTTTTGTTCTTATTAAAATATGTTAATGAGAACTTATTCATCTGCTAGAAAGACAGAAGTTAAAAAATGGACAATGATCAAAATTTGAATGTAGGAGAGAAGAAAAAGCAAAAAATAATGCTTACATTGATATGTTTTAACCAATTGATGACACAACTGCAGTACAGTACATTATCCCGAAATCTCGTTCGCCATGCTTCACTTAACAGAGCTTCCGTTTCCAAATGTCGTATATTATTACGCTCAATAATAATCTCGCCAATATTAACGATAGATGAAAATGCATGACCCGAAATATTGCCAATTTTATTATCACTCATAGTTAAGCATCCAATTGTGTAAAGACCAGTAAATGCTCCCGTATTAATAGCATCAATATTATTTGAGGTGATATAAATCTGCAGCATATAATAAATTATTGCATATTTTAGAAATTAAAATTTTAAAAAAAATTTAAAAATGATTGAAAGATTGGAAAATCAAATATATGATAATTTTGTTTTAGCTAGTTAATTTCATTTTAGCTTTCTCACTTTCTTTTCAAATCCGCAAAAATAAATTTAAGCATTGCTTACTTCTCGTACATGTGACATAGCCGTAAATATTCCGGCTGAGATAGAAAAATTTGAACGACTAATTTCAAGCCTGAAAAAAATCTTTTTTTTACATAATACTAAACAGAAAAAAACTTTAGTAAATTGCTGAACAGATTAAATGAAATTATTTGATATGTGACACTGTCCACTTCCTTCTCATTTCTTTTATTTGTGCTAACATTGATGGATATTGTATGATTTAACAGCTCTCGAAAATCAATTAAATTTTATGAAAATAATTGAAAATCTTAATTAAATGAGTTATAACACATAGGCTAAGAAAGAAGGAAAGAAAGGGTGGATGATAGAACTTTCTGTTCTGTTGAATAAATGAAGATTTGGCCAGTTTTATTGGTCTCCAAAAAATGGATCGAGAAAAGAAAAGGAATGAAAAAAAAAAGAGAAGAGGATATAATTTACATTTAATCAGTTATAAAATGAAAATTTATTACCTATGCACCCTGGAAACATTTTCGAATGGTCGTAATCCAAATGAAATCACACCGAATAAATTGAAAAAATCAACTTGCGTAAGGCTAGCGAAGGCATTCACTTCAATCTTCAGATTTTGACCTTCTAACGTGAATTCTCTCAGGCGACTCAATT